CTATTTTTATCTGGTGACCTTTAGAGAGATCTCCCAGGCAAGCTCAAGGTGCCCTGCTGGGCCCCTCTGGGGAGAAGGAGCTGGAAGATTTTCCCTAGGTTCTGCCATGTTGTTTTTTTCTACTCCAGCTCAGGGTGTCCAGCGTATCTCTATGGCCAGGGCAGAGCAGTATGTAAGGTGCTGAGTTCCTCGGGGCTACGGGTCTCAGAAGTCCCAGACCTCTGCCCTTCTCAGCCTGTTCATGGCAAATTTGAGTTTTTTTCAAAGCTGGGAGGAGGAGAGATGATAGCCTTTTACGACTGCCCTTGGTCTGTCCTTACCTATTTGGAAAGAGGTCCTTGTTACAGAATATGTAAGCCATGGCTAGGATGCATCGAGGGGAATCCAGTATTGGGTGGAGGTGGCTTCTGACCTCTGAGGATTCTCACCCTGAAATGAATCCCATGGTATTAGAAGGTGAAGGTGAGGGTACAGGACCATGGGGCTTGAATTCAGAGACAATGAACCTAGCTGGGAAGACAAGAGGCTATGCCAGTATGGTCCTGTTTTTCCAGCCACCAAGTAAATGTGTCTTCCCTTCAGTTTCAGGCTGTGGCCTAGTTTCCATACCACACCCAGGGGAGTGGGCACTGCTATATTCATTTTCTTTACATCTCACTCCGGTCTAGCTTATGCCTGTACCCAGTGGCCTTGAGGAGCTGGTCCCCTAAACTTCAGCGACTCTGATTCCAATCCCCAAGAATGACACTGGGAAGAATGTAGCTGAGTTTTATGGTTTTCATCATTGGCTGATGGTACCCTTGAAGTTCAGAACATCAGCTTCAGACTTCGGAACCCAGGGGTGTGGGTGTGGAGTTCAATGATGGGCAAATATATGCAGGTGAAAAGATAGCCAGGGTGTTAGAGGCGGGAGATGATGTGATCTGGGGGCAATTAGTAGATTGATCCACACATCAGGGCGATCTAGAGCCCCCGAGTAAGGCTAGGGGAAGCTAGGGTCAGAATAGAATCGTCAG